TGTGTGTGTGTGTGTGTGTGTGTGTGTGTGTGTGTGTGTGTGTGTGTACACCTGACAGGCTGTCAAGGACGTGCATTCACACACAGGCTTGTTAATTGTTGCTCTCTAAAATAGTTATTTCAATTCAACCTTTATTTATACACGTTTAGCCTCATTGAGCCTCGTCATTTACAAGAGAGACCTGTTTTTAACCAATTCATTCAAATGTTTAACAACCTGTTAAAATACACCAAAATGCAGGAAGTGGCATCTCTTTTATTCCAATTTTTCTGGGGGAGGACACACGGACCCTATATATATACTCTATTTCACCACTAGATGTCACTGAAATGAACCTTTGAATGAATGAACCCAAGTTCAATACAATTGGCAAAGTGGTTCAATACTGCTTTATTGCTTCATTTGGCCATCACTAGTGTGTGATGCCGTATTTTCCAGAGTATAAGTTGCAGTTTTTTGCATAAATTTGTCAGTCCTGCGACTTATACGCCGACGCGACGTAATTTTTTTTTTTCATATTCATAACGCAATTTTTGACTGACATCTGACCATTTCATTAATTCTGACATGAATCTGATTAAACATTAACATTTGCAGCAGCTAGAGGCGCGAAAAGGCCCTGTAGGCTTTTGACAACTACCACTACCCCCCCTCCCCCCAAACACTCCATTCCACACAGTTTACACGACGCGTATTTTGAGTGAATCCGCAGTTTTCTCTCTGCGGTTCTGCTGATCACATACCACCAGTGGCCCCCTCTTTGAATCCAGAGGTTTCTGAACCCACCTTCCAGAGTGGAGGTTTTTCGCTGACCCCCCGCTGATAATGTAAACATCTCCCGCTGAGGCTTTGTGTTAAACCACATGCGCACACGCGGTCGGACAGACGCTATTATTTCTATCAACATGGCAGCGGACACGCTGCTTTCAGAACGACTGATGGAATATATTTTTAATCTCGTAGTTAATCTACGTCAGACTCCAGGTGTTGTGACCAACATCTGTGTTGGAAGAGACCCAGTCTGATCCAGTTCTAATGTCACTGTTTATAGAACGAGGAACGTGCACACGCTGCGCTGCACTATAACATCTAAATGTGCTAAATAACAAGTTTAATAATAATAAACAGTATTTATCTTGTTTAAGATATAATGAAGCTCTCTGGACATGATGTAACTCAATTTAAAATGATGCTAAACATATAGCGTGTAACTAAAGTTGAAAATGAAGACATCAGGTTTAATTTTTATTTATTTATTCAACACCACAAACTGTATGTCACACAACCACTGATAATTAAACTGAACACACTATTAAAAACATGTTAACTGTAAACTACATTAATTAACTGGACTCTTGTTTTCATCCTGGATGTCCCACGTTGTTCATCTGGCTCGTTCAGGCAGTCACTCCTTTGATTAATGCAACTTAAAATATTAAATGGATTGAATAAAAGAACTGAGGGGAATTTTAAATAAATAGTTCATCCAACATCTTTCTTCGACGTCCTCCTGCACTGCACCTGGGCCGAGCCTCGTTCAGAACCGGACCGCCTGATGGAAGACAGCTTCTTCTTCTTTCAGGAAAACATAAAAACTCAGTTGGTTGTTGTGTGATCAAAATAAACACAAGCTAACATTATTAAGAACTTTGATTTACCTGCAGTAAATCAGCTACTGATTATCACGGAGTAAAGTCCGACATCATCGACTTGGTTCTGGTCCACTCAGCGACCGGTGTGTTGCTGTTAGATGAAGTGGTCCCGCTTGGCGTCAAATCTGTCGACTCTTATCCAAAATCCAGCTTTAACTTGTTAAGTTGTTGTTAGCTGAGCTTTTAGCCCAGAGGAAAGGAGCGGGCCGAGGCAGTACGCATGTGCATTAGGTGAAGGTACAAAATTCACAGCGCCATCTAATGACCTGGCATGGTAACTACAGCGGATATGGGAAGGGGGTGGCGGTTCCTCCGGATGCATGTAAACACAAAATCTGTCCGTGTCGACGCAAATCTATTCCTCTAATTAACATACGAAAAAAACTACGTTTACCCCCATCGTGTCCGTGTAAATAGGGCCTTAGAGACAACTGAGAAAAACTTACAAACAGAAAATCCTATTTTGCAGATTACAAACTGCAGGTAATAAAATATACAGCCCAAAATGGTAACAGAGCAGCAGAAATAAAGTTTGTAAACGAGTGGGGTCCGTGCACGGGGCATTCAACCTGGCAGTAGGAATGGCCGCACAGCGACAGAGGATCCCCCTGGCGGGGAACATTCCCCTCGTGTGTGGCTGGCTCCCGCAAGGCGCATTTCCTCGGCAGCGGTGCGCCACCCATCCATCCACTGTTGTCTTCATGCTTGCTCAAGATGAGTTCTGTTATGGAGTTAAATTCAAAGCAGTCTGCTCCTCAGACAAATAGTGAATATATAAATGTATGGATGTTTCTGGGCAGCACAGTGTTGCAGTTTGTAGAGCTGCTGCCTCTCAGCGAGCAGGTCCCCGGTTCAAATCCCAGTCCCGGGGCCTTTCTGGGTGGAGTTTGCATGTTCTCTCCAGGTACTTACTCCGGTTTCCTCCCACAGACCAGAAACATGCACGTTAGTCTGATTGGTAACTCTAAATTGTCTCTAGGTGTGAGTGAGAGAGTGAATGGTTGTTTGTCTTTATGTGTCCCTGTGATGGACTGGAGACGTGTCCACTGTCCAGGGTGTACCCCGCCTCTCACACAGTGACTGCTGGACATGGGCACCAGTGAACCCCCACAAAAAAAGGAAGAAGCGGATAAAGATAATGGATGGATGAATGTTTCTGTTCAGTGCCATGAGATGACTTCTGTTGTGACTTAGCGCTGTATAAATAAACTGAATTGAATAATTATCAGTTTTTGTAAAACCTTAGAGTTTAAAGGTTGGCCGATAGTTGCTCAGTATAGTGGGGTCTCCTTCCTTCAGTAAAGGGAGAACACAAGCTGTTTACCTGTCGTTAGGGGCAGTATTGTGGCTTATGGCCAGATTATAGACACCTCCCGATCACACAAAAGCAGACCCCGCTCCAGTTCGCGGATGCGGCTGTTAGCACGCGCTGCTACTGGTTATGACGTGCTTATCTCGCTGATTGACATCATGAGTCAAAGCTCATCAACAGCGGATCTAAAACATGACGCAAGCTAAAGCTAAAGGCTAACTCACCTTTGTCCTCGCGTCGATCGGTCGCCATCAATGGAACGTCCTGCTGCCTCGCGCGCAGCTAGTGCTGACGAACTGCGTTTTGACGATTGAACTGAAAATAATAATACACTGTGGTTTAACAAATCTTAAAAGTGGTCGGAAGGAGGCAAATGGCGGACGCTTTGTTCTTCCTTTTCTTCTTCTTCTGTTGCGTCGCCTGCTTCTTCTTGCTCTTCTTCGTGGAGCACGCGGTTGGGTTAAAGCAGTTACTCATTACTGCCACCACCTGGTCTGGAGCGTGGGTGTCCTCACCGGGCTTAAAATTTGTTACAATTTTTGTTTTTTTTTACAAAAACAAAATATCTTTCAATAGATTAGAATTTTCTATTGTATATTTAATATAGTAAATGTTTCTTTTTCAATTCACTGCTCATATGTTCATGGTAACGCAAATCTTTTTCTCAAATCAACATCTGATAAAATCTGCATTTCCCCCCGCCGTGTCTGTCTAAACAGTCTTAAGCTCAGTCTTATAAATAGCACCTTCTCATAGTGGATCAACCAGTTTGTTGTTGACATTCAAAACTAGCTCTTCACATGATAAAGGAGGACCATCAGCCTAACTGATTGTTAGCACCCTGATGGCCGCTTGCTATTCACAGTGGGCTGAGTGATACTAGCAACAACAACTTTCTAGAATTGCGGTGCTCGGGGTGGGTGCATGTTGGAGGAGCTTTGTTACTTTCATTCTGAAATTTTGCTTTTGGAAACTTTAATTCCTCTTTTGCTGGATGTAAATCACATTTTTTGGATGATTGTTTCCTCTGGTATCAGATGCTGTGCAGCTGGAAGGATTTTTACGGTAACTTTTTTTAGTTTCGGACATTTGTTATGATGAGTAACCATAACTACAAGGTGGTTTTTTTTACAACAGAGAGCAGCTGATTAACATCTCAAAAGCTCTAATAATATCTCAGCTACAGCCACAAATCTCAAATGAGTTGAAAAGGAGGCACCATATATGCATTCCCGTCTCCTTGACATCTGTGCTCGAGTGCTTGACCACTGAGATCCTAGAACTAGCAAGAAACACGGCTCATGACAGCAGAAGGACAGAATCGTCCTCTAGCACCTGCAGCCAGCTGTCCACAGCGATGAGGAGCTCGGCAAGCTGCTGGGAGGAGTGACCATCACCCTGGGAGGAGTTCTACCCAGCATTCAGGTGGTCCTGCTGCCTGGAGGAACTGAGAGGCCAGCCAAATCTGGGTGGACGGATCAGACAGCATCTGCAGCCAGTTTCTTCGGATCCGCTGTGAAATGGACCTTTACAAGAAATCCTTCCTGCCTACAGGCATCAGTATCTATAACATCTCTTAATGAAACAAGGATAATGAGTTACAACAACATTTAATTTCCCTTTGGGATTAATAAAGCTTCTCAAACCTGGGTCCTCTGCTTCACAATCTCTTCTCCACTCACCGCCTCATCCAGCTGCTGCACCTCACTGTCCACCTCCTCCCCGAGTCTGGCACAGAGAGGGGAGTGTTTCGCAGGGGGGCAACCCAACCCTTGTTTGTTGGAGGAATGGTGGAAAATGTTGCTGGGGAGAAGTACCTGTGCTTGCCAGAGGAGCAATGGGAAATTTCGCTGGGGGAGAGGTACCCATGCCCCCGCTCGCCAGAGGGGCGATCAGGCTCTTGCACTAATCAGGCTCTTGCACTACGGAGGATGACCCCTGCCTCTGTTGGCGTCCTGTGGAGAGGATGACCTCGGCTCTACATCGCCAGCTGCAAACCCATCTCCTGTCTCGGCATCTGCATCCTCCCGGTACTTTTCAGTTAAACCCTCCTGGCTCTCTCATCCATCCTTTGAAGGGGTCCAGATGGACATGTTGGGAATAAAATAACCTTTGATGATAAATGGTGGAAAATAACATAATATGGATTGTGAATATAAGGTTTAATTATGAATTATGGAAAATAGATCATATAAAGATGGCTAGAATTTCTGTTAGATGTACAAACTAGGCCATAAGCTGAAAAATAATTCTTTTCAAGGACTGCTAACTTTAAAATCAAACCATGACACTTTCTGTTATCAGTAGGGAAATAGTTCCTTATTTCTAAAAAGGCCTTTAATGACAAACAAAACATCAAAAAGGTTCTTGCTCAGATAACTGAAGTTAAATTATAGTTCACTTCATTTGAGTGTTTGTGGAGATCATAAAACAATTAATAATGAGTAAAAGAGTAGCTTAATTGCTCAGAGTGACCCTGGCTCTTAGTGGCACAATCTAAAAACCTGATAATATGCTAAATTACCAAGGGAATAATCAAGATTTTCACAGCCTTTGTGAGATTATGTGTGGCTTGGTGCTGATTATGTGTCATATACTCAGTGGAAAGGGATGACAGCTAATGTGTGCATGATTGATTGGACAGGGACTTCTACGAGTCTGTAAGGTGTTTATTGGACAGGAATTGAAAACAGGAAGTGTCACTGGGTGGAGAAATCAGTCTATAAATGTGGGAACAGACTTGAGATGTGTCAGAATTGTACAGAGGGCCCCTCAATGTCAGTAAAATATAAATATTTATACAATAAGTCCCAGCTTGCTGTGGACTGTTAGGAATAAAATAACATTTGATGATAAATTGTGCAAAATAACATAATATGAGGTTGGTGAATATAAGGTTTAATTATGAATTATGGAACATAGATCATATAATGATGACTAGAATATCTGTCAGGTGTGTAAACTAGGCCATAAACTGATAAATAATATATTTTTAGTGACTGCTAACTTTTAAAATAAACCATGACACATTCATCAGCTTACTAACTTCTTAATTGACACTAATGAAAGTGTAATATAAATTTAAAAAAAAACTGTCACTGTGTTAACTTCACTGCCAATATGAACTCATTTCCCATGAAACGGATCACTCGTTTAATGAATTTTGGTTCAACTGACCTCGAAGTTGAAACATCAGCTGAGACTTTAACTTTTATCAAAAAGGAGTATCACTCCCAGGATGGGTTCCCATGAAGATAACACATTTTAAAGAACCCTTTGTTTAATGACATTTTATTTTCAGGAGATGAACAGCGACACCTTTTGATGAACATTGCATGTTATTTCAAAATATGTCATACCTGAATGTTTACTCATGAAAATGTCTTTTAAGTAATCTCACTTTAAGATAATCATTTGTCTTATTTTTCTCCTTTAAAAGAAGAGTGACCTTTTAAAGGCAGACAGAGAAAATGGACTTTAGATTTTATAAAACATGACAAAGAATTAGGACCATCCCTCTTCTGAGAGGTGGACCAAAGTCAATCTGTAACACACAGACAGTTAAGTTAAGTTTCACTTCCTCGTCTTCACTTCTTCTTCAAGCACTTCAACTCAACTTCTGCTACACGCTTCTTGAGCTCGGAACTGGGAGAGAAAAACTCAGTTTCTGCATGGAAGAGAAGCATCTTTTCTGCACAGAGACGGGACAAAAAGATACTAAAGAAACCCTGCAGAACCAGAAGCAGAACCTGGCATTAACCGGAGATTTGTTACCAGAACATCACACCACAGAGGAGTGGAAAAATCCCAGCTGACTCCCATATGGACCCTCGTTCCTCTAAGATGACAGGTGAACTTTGAGGAAAAATCAGCCTCTCAGTCGCCAGAACATCTGGGTTGGTACCATTTTTAAGCAGCTGATGGACCATTCCTGACCATCTCATTCTGGTAGGAAAGAGACTTTCAATGCACTTTCTGGTGAACATACATCACAATAATCTTGCTTTACACACACTACATCTCATTTAGACACAATTTTAACTACTCCACAAACACAACCAGTCCAAAATCTGCCTTTTTAAGTTTCACTGATTTGAATAATCAAGTAGACCTTTGATACAAAACTATTTGTTATTCATCCGTTTGTTATGCATAATTTTCATCAGATATATCACAGATTATTATTTTTGTAATAAAATACATAAAATCAACTAAATTTGTGATTATTTTGGCATATCTGTGTGTATTAACTGATTTGATTCCCTTTAAACACGAGAAAATAATTCACGTTTCAGTTTACATTTAATTTGGGGTTAGAGACTGATTTTTTCCTCTTAAAGAGGTCGTGCCCATACACAACTAGGTTATTTGCATAATAAATGCATATCTTATGAGCTTAACTCATAACTGATAATTTACAATATATATCCAGCCCATTATCCCTCTACACTCTCTTTTTACATAAATTGCTTCCTTCACTCCTCTCTCAAACTATGTCTTCTCGATCCAAAATGTGAACATTTTGGTCCTCAAATGAGTGGTCCTTATCCGTGAGGTGGAGGTGAACAGCTGAGTCTTGTCCAAAGGAGGTGGCTCTCCTGTGTTGAGCCATGCATCTGTGAAGTAACTGTTTTGTTTCTCCTATATATATGTATGTATATATACATATACATATATATATATATATGTATATATATATATATATATATATATATA